GTACGAAGACGGTATGGGTTGCAGGCAGAGAACAAGCGAATATTTGGATGTATAAGTTTACCATCAAGCATTCGATGAGATATTAAATCTGCAAGTAACCCGATATGATTACAAGTATTGATTTCATCAAAGAATAACCAAATCTCGCCTTTTTCTGCAAGTTTCAAAGCATCTTTAATAAACATCATAATAATCTCTTTGCTAATTCCAGCATGGAGATTAAGAGCTTGAAATTGAACTTCAACCATCTTAGCTAAATAGGCAATTAAACTTGTCTACAAAAGAAATATAAATTAGAAAATGATCCTAAAAAAAAGAGCTTTATCTTCTATTTTTACCTTGCCACATCCTGCTTCACCACAAACAATAACCGGAATGTGAGCACGCGCTCTCAAAAGAATTAGAGCCATCTTTATTAAATTATCACCGGATAAAGCGTATTCTGGAAGTTCTAACTTTTCTGTAGATCTTCGTGCTAAATATTCTAATTTCGTGAAGAGAGCGTACGCTGACATTGTATTGTAATCATCTAATTCCCACTTTGTTTGATCGCCGATTACTTGACTTTTTAATAGTATTTTAATATTATCATGTACTTTTGTTCTGTCACGATATAAAGCTGATATACTATCGGGAGTTTGGGAATTAAAAAATACTAAAATATGATTTGAATCGTCCCATTGAATAATTTTACCAAAACGAACATTTCCATCATCGTCATTCATAGATTCAAGTTGCGCAACTTTGGATTTAATAGATCTAGTTGCAAAATCTTTCGAAACTTCTATCAAATTTCCAACTATTAAAGACCTAATGTTTGTTTCTTTTACCAGATTTTCTGCAGCAAAAAATTGACTTGATGATAGTCGAACTAATTGATCTGCAAGAAAATTAATAAATACTTCAATGAATCTAAACGAAGAAATATCATCGGAACTTTTGTCAAAGAAATATTTCGCTATAAGATTTTGACAACGTTCTTCCGGTAATGGGTCTTTGATTGCTTTTTCGGTTTGGAAAAGTATGTCTCTTGTATCTATTTCTTTACGATCATACAAATTCAAATATTGACAAGTAACCTGAATTGGACTACTAATTTCTCGAGAAATTCTCAAATTTTTTATATTCCAAGTTAAATGATTAAATAATAGATATCCGGTCACAGGAAGGGAATTAAGAAAATGCTGTTCAGCAGATGAGGCTACTTCGATAAATATATGAGTCGGGGTTTCTGAAGACGGAAGACAAGCAATATCCACATTGGTAGAAACTATGCCCAAAGTTAATAACTCAAATAAGAACATATTGACATCTTGAGGATGATCTGATGATACTATATT